AGTTCCAATAACTTTAGGGAAGTTCCGAGAGCTGCAGGAATGTCCAGACTTTCGGAGAAAATTTACATAAGCGTAAGCGTAAGTTCCGATAAATTCAGAATAGTTACATGAACTTCAAGATAATTTCGAGAACCTTAAAATAGGTTCGAGAATTTCAAACTAGTCCAGGCAGACGTGGTAAATGTCATAGAAATAGTGACCTTGTGTGGCATTAATAAAGATTTAAAAAAAATATTTCAGGGCAGTTCCAAGAACTACCGGAGAATTCAGAGAACTTTAGGGATGCTCCGAGATAATTAAAACAAATCATAGAACCTATAACGGCATTTCAATCAATTTAAAGCAAATTACAGGAACTTTAGAGAAGCTCCGGGAAACTCAGGAATCAATAAAATTTTTGAAAGAAACATCGGGAAAATGCGAACGGATTTTAAGGGAATCCCGTGATTTTTATGGTAGTTTCAAGAACTTACAAAATAGCAGGAACCTCAACAAAGATCAGTGAACTTATGCAAAGTTTGCACATTTTTAGGAAGTTTCATTATATTCAGGGAAGTTTCGAGTATTTCAACGACGATCAGAGATCTTTAGAGCAGTCCCATTAATTTCATGGATATCCAAAGAAGTTCAGGAAAATTTAGAATTTTAGGTGAAGTTCCGTGAGCTTTTGAGACATTTTTAAAAGTTAAAGAAAATTACGTCTACTTCAAGGAATATTCAAAACTACAAGGGACAGCCCTATGAGGTTGTACGCAATGGTGACGTAGGACTACGTGGTCTTATATAATAAATATTACATCGACATGTTTCGTCTGGAAACGATTTTCTGATAACTGTGTTGGGGATGCAACATATGCATGTACGTTATTGGTGGATTTGTTACTTATTTCAACGCTTTTGGACAATGCTTGACATGTACTTCTCTTTGAATAGTTTTTTGTTAAAACTCAGCAGTCAAAAGCATTGCTATCAATGTGTAGAAATATTTCTGATCGAATGGTGATAAAATTATTGAAATTGGTCCAGGGACAGTTGAGTTATCGACGTTCCAAATCTTTCATAATTTCGTTACATGTTCCATTTTCGATTTTCACAAATGTACCCCCATATAGAAATCACACGTCAAAAAACTGCAAGGCAATTAAATTAACTACAGTAAAATTGCGGAGACATCCATAAATTTAGGGAAGCTCAGAGACCTTTCTGGTAGTCCCATAAGGAAAGCACATTGAACATCAAGATAGTCACCATTGAGGAAATTTTAAAATGATGATGGATTTGTTTCCATAATTTCAGAGCGTTTTTATGAGTTTCGGTAAAATTTTTGGAGAACCTTAGTGAAAATCTTAGAACGACATTTATTATTTCGTTGTAATTTCAAGAAAATTGGGACTGGAATTTTAGGAAACTCCAAAGAACTCAAGGGTAGTTAAGAAATTTCAGGAAAACTGCGGGAACATCATAGAATTGCAGTGAACGTCAGGAAAGATCAGAAAACTTAAGAGAAATTATGATTTTTTGTTTATTGATTTATTTGATAAGGCTCAATCGAATTAACTTTACAGAGCCGAGGATTCTTTTTCACTATACAAAACATCGTAAAACTAGAGTCAAAAGGTACAGCACAATAAACACTTTATCTTCTGCCATCCAATAAGCGTCCTCCATCAGAACGGGAGCCGCTTACAGTGGTTGCATTGTTAGGCAGTATCGCCAACGGGGGGCAGAGCGCTTCCATTGCAGCAATGGACGCAAAACGTGGTCACCACTCACACACTCATCACAAAAACGGTTGCTATCCAAACATCAGGAAAATGCCAACTTTCAGTTTAAAAGAAGTTTCGTAAGCTTCATGGCTGTTTCGAGATTTGAGGGCTCTTCGCGGAAATCTATTAATGCGGAAAAACTGCAGAACATTTGAAGAAGTTCCCAGATTTTTATGAAGTTCAGAGAACTTCCGAGTTGTTTAAATAGCTTCAGTTTTTTTTTGAACTTCATAGAAGCTTAGAGAACTCAGGAGAAAGATACATTCAAAAAGTTCAGGGAAGATTTGAAAACATTAGGACTGTTCCATAAATTTTAGGGAAATTACAAAAAAATTAAAGAAGTTTCGGGGAATTCATGGAAATTGTTAAGACTTCAGGTCTATCCTAGAATTTCAGAAAACTGTGAGAACTTCAAAGATGATACATGATAGTTAGGAAAATTGAGACAACCAGTTCAGCTAAATTTAATGATTTCAAGGGAAGTACCGTTAGCAGCAGAATGACAGTATTGCATAAGAAGGTGAGTGAGACAACAGTAAAGACCCGAACGACTTAAGTACAATTTCAACTGGAAGTCTTCATCCTGCTTCACGGTTTCAACGCTGGTGATTTATCGATCTAAATAAATCGCAATTCTTTGGCGCAACCGGTGTAAATATTTACCTTGTATGACAAAAGCCAGATAATCATGATGTTCGATTATTGAAAACAATTCAAATGAAGAAAATATGAGAACTCCACGCTAACTTGAATGCACCCATAATAGAGTAAAAAAATACCCATTTTGTAAAAAAGTTACTTAACTCACTGATGAGTAATTTTGTTTACCCATTCATGAGCATCTGTTACCCATTAATGAGTAACTTTTACTCATTAATTGATTAACAGTTACTCATTAATGGGTAACAGATACTCATTAATGAGTAAACAATTCAGTGCTAACATTTGAAAACGGCACAAAAGCCATTTGTAAACAAATGGTTTGTGGGCCCTTTACTCACTACTTGAAGTACACCCACGCGACACAACAGCAACATCGGGTAGGGGAAATTTTCCCCTTCCTGACGATGCTGTTGGTTTGCGTGGGCGTTCTTCGGGTAGCGAGTAAAGGGCCCACAAACCATTTGTTTACAAATGGCTTTTGCGCCGTTTTCAAATGTTAGCACTGAATTTACTCATTTAATGATTTAAGCAAATTTTCTTCAAAACGGGTATTTTTCAACCATTAATGGGTGCTTTCAAGTTAGCGTGTATAGTATAATGCTGTCATGATTACCTAAGATTCGAAAAATAATGTAAATATTTACACTGCTTGCACTGAAAAACAAAGTCGTTGAACATAAAAAAAAAAAGCAAACGAGGAAGATTAGGGAAATGATGCTTCTATGAGTTGATATAAAGGGTGTCCACGATGAAATTGCCACACTATTAAATTGCTCTAACTTTTTAACCGTTGGGTAGAATTTAATGAAAATTTGGGTGGATTTAGTTCATAGTGCATTATTTACATCCTGCAAGTTTTAAAGTCCTGTGATCAAAACTCGCGGAAATGGAGTCGAAAGAACAGCTCGTGCGTGATAAAATCTTGCGCATTCATCACGAGAACAAGGATCTCTCGCATCGTTCCATCGCTAAAACGTTGGGAATCGCAAATTCCACGGTGTCGCGAGTGATTAAGCGGTTCGAGGAACGGTTGACCACCGATCGGAAGCCCAGAAGTGAAGGAAAAAGTATTCCGTACAACACCAAAAATCACAACCGCGTAGTTGGGGCCTTCAACCGAAATCCGAACGCCTCCGTTAGGGATGTGGCTAAGAAGCTGCACCTAAGCCGAAGTTTTGTCCAGAAGGCCAAAACTAAGGCTGGGCTTCGAACGTTCAAGGCACAAAAGGCCCCTAATCGCGACGAGAAGCAGAACAAGTCCGCCAAAACCCGTGCCAGGAAGTTGTACCTCAACATGCTGACGAAAGTTGAATGCTGCATCATGGACGACGAAACATATGTGAAGGCCGACTTCAAACAGATCCCCGGCAACCTGTTTTTCACGGCCAAGGATAAGTTCAGCGTTCCGGAGCATGTCCGCACTCAGAAGATGTCCAAATTTGCGAAGAAATTCCTGGTTTGGCAAGCCATCTGCACGTGCGGGAAGCGGAGTGCACCTTTCGTGACCCAGGACACGATGAACGGACAGGTGTACATAAAAGAGTACCTCCAGAAGCGGCTGTGCAATCTTCTGGCCGGATTTGGCCTCATGCCACTACTCCAAGGACGTGCTGAAGTGGTATGCGGACAATAAGGTCAATTTCGTGCCGAAAATGTTCAACCCTCCCAACACTCCGGAGCTCCGCCCCATCGAGAAGTACTGGGCGATTATGAAGCAGCACCTTCTTAAACGACCTAAGGTAGTGAAGACAGCCGAGGAACTGAAGAAAGTATGGGTTTACATGCAAAAAACGGTTGATTCACAGGTTGTGCAGAATCTTATGGCCGGGGTTAAGGCCAAGGTGCGGGCATTTGCGTATGGACTGTAAATAAAATACGAGTAAAATGGTAAAATGAAGCTTAATAGTTATTTCTCAATCCCTGAAAATTTGATGGCAATCGGATGAAAACTCGAATTTTGCGAATCAATTTTGTGTGTGGCAATTTCATCGTGGACACCCTTTAGTTTGTTTACAATATCAAGCTTTTATTCGCGAGAAATCAGTGATTGATGCACCTGGTAATAAAAGCAGATGCGCCCTAATCTAGAACCACACCGGATGTTGCATCTTATGTTCATGTTGTATAGGTACAGAGCTAAATTTTGGGAACAGTTTTCCCCCATAACATCTTCATGACATTTACCAGTTCTGGGTGCAAAAACAAAAAACCGAAAAAAACGGGTCTTAAAACGGTCGAAGCATGAATGAATCGGTTGCATCTCTCTCTCTCGTTTGTCATGGAAGTTAATTATCGTTTGCTAATTTACTCATGTGGGAAATGAGCAAACGCTGCTCCCCCATGGTGGCAAATTGGGCGAGCGTGCCGCCGAGTCTGGAAAGAGCCTACTGGAGCGGATCGATCGTTCTGATCGGTTCTTCTTTCACGGCTGTTACCATGCGACCGGCTTGGCGAAGCAGGCACCGATGCACTCACCGACCACATAGCAACAATAACCACAATTCGAAAGTGACCAGAGCCTACTGTGTGTGGAATGTATAAAACTGCTCCCTATGCAGTAGGTTAGGCACAGTCCGCGAACAGTCCTCGTCCGATTCAGTACGACCAGGAGGTTTGCGTTTACAGAAGCACTCAATAGTTTCAGTTAGTGTCTATTTTTGATTTGGAAAATTCACCCAAACCAGAACCAAGCCATACAATGAAGGCCTTTGTAAGTGAAAGCAAAAGAATACCTATAATGTGACTAGTTACTTAACGAATTTATGCGGATTTTATAGATCTTGGGATCAGTGCTGCTGCTGGCTTCGGTTAGTTCCGGATCGTTCGTTCCTGCCGATACACCGGAAGTGGCCGCAGCCAAGGCTGCTCACTTCGCTGCCCACGCAGCTGGCAACCACTGGGGCCACCATGAGGCTCCAGTTCAAAAGTGGCACGGACCCATCCACATTCCGGTGATCCACAAGGGCGTCCCGGTCGAAACCCCCGAAGTGCAGCATGCCAAGGCTTTCCACGCTGCCGCCTACGCCAAGGTTGCCGGATACGATCATTATGCCCCGGAACCATATCACGCCTCAGTTGACCATCACGAAGGTGGAGCTTGGCATGGACCCCAGCACGTTCCAGTGATCCACAACGGAGTTCCAGTTGAAACCCCAGAGGTTCAGCATGCCAAGGCCGCCCATCTGAATGCCCTGGCCAGCGCTCATTCCGGACCTGCTTCGTGGGCCGAACAAGGCCATGGGCATGAGGATGACGGCTCCTACAAGCCGGAACTATACGAAGGCGGATATTACTAAGTGATTTATCACCTAATTATTGAGTGCCGACTACCAGGAAGAATTCTCCCACAATCGTCAACTACGAATCAACAACATCCATCGAAGTAGGTGAATCTGTTTTGTAAATACATTGTATAGTGGGAGTAGCTTCAAACTCCAGCATCTTCAAACGAACAAGGAATGTCAAATCGATCGAAGAACCAAACAAGTGTGAAAAATACCAAGAGGTGAATGTTTATTAAAAAAGGTAGAAAGAGTGTGTTGTAGCGTGTTTTAGCATCACGTTACGAATTCAAGCTGCATGTTCAACATTTTCATTAAGCCACCCATTGTTGATTCGCAATAAAGAGTTATTCGGTATTCTCTCGTTAAACATCAATAACGTTTTCGTTATTTAAACACTTCAGAAGATTGTTAATCGTGCAACAACTGCTTGAAAGTGCCATGCCGTGCAGAAATTGTGTTTCGACATGGAAGATACAGCAAAAACCTGCAAACCCTTCGCACCATTACTCCCTGGGGTCGTAGATCAGCATATTTATTACTCCAATAACCGAATATTCTACCTCACTTAACACTTACACAACACCCAGCTCAGTCGTTGCTCGGTGGTTCCGGACTAGTTCACCCATCCAGACCATAACACACCAACCATCAGAACAACGACGACGACGACGACGATGGAAGTCGCCGGAATTGGCTTCCGGTGTGACGCAAATGTTTGCGGTGGGTAAACATAAATTTGAATTTTCCAATTACTTCCGCCGCTGGGGGTGTATGGGAAATTTTACTCCTCGCAATGAGTGGCAGCATCAAAAACACCCGGGCACTCGCACGTGGATTGAGCAGCCAGCTGACACGAATGATGGTTGGTTAGTTGGTAGGGACCTGTCCCCCCCCCCCCCCCCAACAGGACATGCATATAATTTGCCACAACGTATGCGAAGAACACTCGCCGTTTCCCATTTGTTTGCACAACGCGCACGCCGAACGGATGCTGTTGGCCCACGGAGGGAGTGAAGTACCTATATTTTGTCTTTTTGTTCAAGTTTACACAAATATTGCCCGGGATTCATTGCGGTCGTAGGTACCAACTGGCACCGTCAGTGACTGCCGTAGGCCTCGAGTTGTTTGTTAATTCGTGGGAGATTGGAACACACTATTAAATGGCAAGACAGCGGTTTTCGTTGTAACTTGAGTTTTTGCTTTTAGTGGATGTAAGCGGAAGGCAAGTACACAAATATTCATCTTGCTTGACTAGACCATGTTTATTCACCATTCCAGCATAATTCATTTTAGCGTGTGATTGTTCGTTCGGTTAATCGTAGTAGGCGTGGTAGTTTGGTTGATGGTTTGATATTCTATTAGTTTTAACAGTGCTACTGCAAGGAAGCAAATAAAAGTGAAAGTGAAAATAGTACCTGTGTGTTCTCCGTTCGTCTGCTGGATCCTGATACTTACCTTGCCGGTTTGTCTGCTGCTCTGCACCTATCCAGGCACTTGGAAATTTTGGTTCTATATATCTAGATAGAGCTGGAATTAGGGCCTAACAGCTTTTGTAAACAATTACTTCTATCGATGATTTCTAGAAATTCAAGGCTCGCCCACGCAAACCAACATCCTCATCGGATAGGGAAAGACTTCCACTATCCGATGGTTATGTTGGCCTGCGTGGACGTCATTGTTTACAAAAGCTGTTTCGCCGTAATTCCAGCTCTATCTAGATATAAGGTCTGAGGTCTGACATAGGCAATGATTTATATATAAGGTCTGATAAAAAGGGCTTATTGGTGTTAGTGAAATGAGCAAATGTTTAGTGGTGTTCGTATTTAATTGCAATGTTTATCTTTTTACACAAAACAGCTGTGGGCAGTGACGTAATTCTATCTGTTCGCAGTATGGAATGTTGGATAGAGTGACGTCGTCACTTGATTGTTCAGCAAGTTTTCTAAATTGTTGATTCTAACACCAGTAACACTTGTTGACCCAGACATTATATCAACGTCATTGATAGAGAGGTTCTGATGAGACGGAAGCGGTTGTAAACTGCAAAAATGCGGGACCGAAATCCGTACACCTAAGCACGAGAGAATCATTAACGGTCAATACTAAATAATGCTATCACATTATGCTCTGTATCACATCTTTTTCCTATACATTTATCTTTATTTTACCATTATTTGCAAACACCAGGTCTTAAAATTACCTTTAATTATAAGAAAAAAGTATTTAAATTGCACATCTCTTGAATCAAAATCCGTACAGCGTTCTGCGATTGAATCAAAATCCGTACAATTTTGAATCGAAATCCGTACACTGTGTTGAGGATGAATCAAAATCCGTACAGTCATGAATCAAAATCCGTACATGCATGTAAATCGATCTAAATAAATGAAAAAAAAAAAAACATGTTGCTGTCTTGAATAAAGTATTTTTTTAAAAGTTGCTTGGCTAGGAGTCCAAAACATATATACTCAAATACACTAGTTTACAGCATGTTTGAACTTTGTACGCTGATGGTCATTTCCCATGTAAAATCGTGCGCTGAATCCAAAAATGTAGTCCAAAAAAATCTCAGTAGGACAGTTTTTGAGATGTAGCTTAAAAATGAAATCTCACTTAAAAAAAAAACGAGTTTACTAAAACCACAAAGGAAAGGTAACTGATATCTTTTTATTTAGGAAGGTAACTGCTCTGGATTTTTATGCTAACTAATATAATGTTTAAGGATTCATTTCCTCCAAATTTTATTCTATACCAGTGCTTTGGGTTAAATATTATTACAAGAGTTTACCTCCGATCACAACTTCGAGGTCTTTGAAATTTGACATGTGATAACGTGCAAGATGCGCTATACTTTGGAACTTGGGGGCACTCCAGCTCAACGCTACAAAACATTATTAACCGGGACTAAACTGGCGGTGTAGCTTGGACAATGTTGTCGAATCAATAATAGCAAACTGATGCGAAGACTGCCGAAACATCTTTAATACACCGATAATGGAAACGCTCCACCAACCCACTGGCATCAAGCGATAGAATAAGCGGTTCCTAAGATGGTACCCCTATAATGGCGGATAAGTGAAAAAAAATTACAACCATCTTCGAAACCAACAAAAAAGACAATGAATTAACATCAAAGATTAGTTTTTCGTTTTGTGCATGAAAAATAAAATAAACGTTAGTTAATTACTAAAACTTAATTTAATTTAAAACGTCAAGAGAGTAATAATCATACAAATGCAGATCTTTCATTGCTTCTTTTCCATTGTTGCCATTGCCTTTTCAAGTTATAATGCTTTCTTACTTCCAGCTTTCTTTCCTCTTCTTTCTCTTCTTCCTCCTCTTCCTCTCTCGCTCAACCTTTTCCTTTTGTCGTTTCTCAATCCTTTGTTTCTTTGCGTTCTCTTTATGAATTTTCTCCCGTTCACTTTCATGTATATTTTCGGCCATTCCTCGCTGGTGGCTACTGTTGGGAATGCTCTCTTGCCCATTTCTGTCTGCTCTCTGTAATTTGTATATGCGTCTTGGTGATATCCTGTAGGGGAGCAGCGCTGTTTTCCTTGACGGTTCTTGACGCTCTTCATTTAAAGATATTAATAATATAACATTTACAATACGAATAAAATAAGAGAGTAGCGATTCAATACGGCATCTCTTATGGTGGTGAATGGAACGGCAGAATCCCTGGATGCTTCTCGGTAAGATTTCCCCGCACGCATCATTGCCACAGTCTTCTATAAATCCTCCGGCGTGTATTTAGCTTCCATGATCTGCTGAAAAACATTGGATAAAGTGGAGTCGTCATTGTTAATGCACAAGTGTACGGATTTAGAATCAGCTGTTATATATGGATCGAAATCCGTACAGTACTAATTTTGATAAATAAATACCATATGAATGATCCATTGCTTAGAATTGAGATATAAAACGATAAACACTTACCTCACTGATCGACCTTCAGGAAACTACTTGCAAAAATCACTTAAATACGCTTAACAACTGGAAGTAAATCCGAGTGATTTTCTTAGAAAATCGTTAAGAACGCAACCGATTGATAGAAATGCCCGACACATGATAAGTTTTTTATTTTTCTTATTTTAATTGCATGACATACTGCTTAATTGTTGACGTAAACATCAAGCTAATGCATGAATGAACATGAATATGTATTCATGTTTAATATTTACATTGTTATGATGCATATAAATAAACAAATTCAACAGGGTGTACGGATTTCGGTGCTGTACGGATTTCGGTCCCGCACGGTATTGATTGGAACACGCAAAAAGTGTCAAATCCGGAGAACTTCGAGATTAGGGTGTAATTGCTTTTGTAAACAAACACGTCATTTGCTGATTTCTCGCGAATTAAAGCTCAATCTACAAAACTAACAACACAAACAGGTAGGGGAATGATTCCTCTATCATTTGGTATAGTTTGTTCGGGAGATTGTGTTTTTACGCCCAAATCTCAAAAATCTCCGGAAATTCTAGTTTGTGGCTAGCAATTCGACAAGGCCGACAAGTACGCATTCTGAGCAGTCCGTTGGTATAAACGTCGTCCAAGAATACTTTGTCTCAAGCCTTAAGATTTTTTTTGTTATAAAGGTCTATGAATTTCGTAGAAGAACAACAAATTTCCCAGCAGTTCAATGAACTTACCAGAACTTCAACAAACTTTCCTCAAAATCTACGACATTTCCTGAGGATCTACCAGTTCCAGAAAGTCCTTCGAATTAAATCGAAAGAAGTTTAATGAATTCACCTACTAAGTTCGCAAGAAACCTACAAAAATCCAAGAATTTCCAAAAATCAAAGCAGTCTTAAAAATTTCTTTTAAGATTCATACCAACTTCACATCAGTGCTACGAATGTCTCAAAGATCTACCAGATTTCAAGAAGGTCATTGGAAGTAACACAAGTTCTGTGATTTTCTCAGAAGATTTACGAAGATTACACACTAAGATTTTGTTTTCGTGTTCGGTAAATTTTATTGAAATCAGAACAGCTGAACGTT